TGTTCCTGACCGCACACCCAGAACCTTCGCTGCTTGCGGAAACCCAGGGACTTTCGAGCCCATCTCCGATCCTACGAGGCTTAAGGAAACCCTCACCCGCCACGACCACGGGCTTCCCTGAAACCACCAACCCCGGTCCCGGCACAAGCATCCGTGGACTCCTCGTCCCTCACCAGACAGCAGCTCCTTTGAAGAGCAGGAAACGCCTCTCTGCCTGTGTCCGCTCACTGCACGGAGTTGCTAAATAATCCCCATCAAGATGAAAGGGGGCGAGCTGGCCTCTCCCCCACCCTTCCCTCGGTTCAAGCAACCCACTCCTCTCTGTACCAATATTCGACTCAGAGCATCGTCCAAGGTCATCAGGGCAGCCCAAGGACCCTCATTAAAGGGGGAGACTCGCCGGGAAGCTGAGGGGCAGCGAGGTCTGAGGCCGACCACAGGGGTCTCTTTGCAGAAGCAAAGGTTGGATGGAGAGCTCGCAGATACCCCAGGGCCGGTGGTGGTGTCAGAAGCATGAACTGTGGTCCATCCCAGCCACAGGGACGCCAGCTCCCAAGCAGCAGTCACTCCAGGGCTAAGCTTCTGGCTCCGGATCACCTGTGCTTATTCACGACATCCTTCAATTATTTAAAAAAAAATGTTTTAAAGCTGAAAGCCTCAACTCGTGTCTGTGAGATGGTCTGGGTGGGTTGATGCAAAACCCCAAGTGAGAAAAAAGACATGATTACTGTTTCTTGGTTCACGCTCAGCTTGTAGAACTTCAAAAATTATCTTGCGTGCAGCCAGCGGCAACAAGCTGTGAGAAGCATTCATGAGAATAAGATGAACGAGATGATTTCGGGTCACGTTTGTTGACTACAAATTTTTTAAATTATTATTTTTTAAGCAAAGATGGTTTGCCCGATCAATCTGTGATCACAAGTGTCAGAACCAGAAACGTTCAAAGTGACTTCTCTATGGGGAAGCGGTCTGCAGTGAGGGACCTAACTTCTCCGTCCCTACATCCTGCATGGTGATAGCGAGTTTACACCTGTGTTTCTCAAGATAATCTCGATGCTGAATGTCGTCCCCAGCGACCCCTCCTCCAGCTCTCCACCCAAGGATGCTAGGAAGCTTCTAGAAGCTGAGATCATCCAACCTGTCCACAGAGGGCAGGAATTTGGGCAGTCTCTTCGCCCTCAGTTCCCTTTTTCAATCAACAGAAGCTCTACTTCCCAAGGACAGTGGGGGCCGTAGGGATTCAATTACTCTGGTTAACAACTCTCGTTAGGCACTGCAAATACCACTTGAACAAACCCAACAGCGTCTTCAGATGGGAAGGAGGGAGGGACTTCATCTAGCTGGTTCTCTTCCAGCCCCCCTCCTCCCTACATCCTGCCCCAGGAGGGGCTACCATCCCCCAGAGCCCAACAGCTGCGCCCAAGAGGGACCCAATGCCCAGTGGGAAGTGACGCACTGCCTGGGGAGGGCTTCTTGTCTGCCTTTCTCCCATCAGTCCATGAGCGTGGAAAACTCGGCATCCCGGGTGGATGGCACATGCCATAAGGGACCATGACCCTGGGGGCCACCCTGGAACCCCAATGACCACTTCTATGCCACTGGCCAACTGGGCAGTGAGCGCTTAGACCCAGATCTCCCCCCGGGTAAGCAGGGTGACCTTGGGCGAGTCACCCCATCTCTCTGAGTGTCTCTAGTTGTCAACTGGGATTTCCTAAGGTTCTCACGCCCTTGAAATTTCCCCATCTTAGCCCTTGGCTGCCCTCAATGCAGACAGCTCCCACCCCTCCCAGGCCTCTGCCCAGGGCTCAGCTGCCTGGAAGAGCCCAAGTGACTGGAACAGAGCTACGCTAGCTCTGCGTCACAGGCACCACCAGCCCCCACCCCGGGGATCCGGTTACTGGCCCAGCGCTCTCACTGGGTGGCAGCTCTGCCTCTGATATTTTTAGACTCCCCCCCCTTGGCCTGTCCCTAACGAGAGCCAGATGCATCTGGGGAGGACTGTAACTCCCGCGGGGAGCCAGACTCCAGCACGCCTGGGGCAAGAAGGGGAGCCTCCTCTTCCCCCCACCCCCACCCCCACCCCTACTCCTTCCCCAGACGAGCCAAAGCCAACATCCAAGAGTCAGGCCTCCGGTCTGTCTACGGTGCCAGCTGCCTTCTTTCCCCGCTCCAGCTGCCGCCGCCAATCGCCTGCTCTCCTAGGCCGCCGCCCAGGGCTCATTCTCCCTCCCAGGAGTCCCCACAGTATCACTGAGCTTCACCTGCCTGACCGTCACCTGCCTCTTCTCGAGGGACTCTGCTGCCCGGTCCCAGCGCCTGGGACCCCACCCCAACCCTGCTCTGTGTCAGAGCCTCACTGGTCCACATGTGGCAGTAGCTACATGTTGCAAAACACACGTACGTACACACACACACACACACACACACACACACACACACACACACACCTGCCCCCAAGGAGGGTGGTTGGACTCTTCCTCCCAAACAACTTAGCAACCAGCCAGCAATCTGGCCTTGGAAAAGCATTTCTACATTTCTGTCTCGACAGACTTCCCTTCCTAGTCACGTCTGGCCGAGTTTAGTGTGACAAAGAGCTGGCCTCTGTGGTGTCCCATCAACCAAGAAGGCCACAGAGGGGCAGGAGAGTCCCCAGGGGGTGAAAAATTGGCCAGTTGAGTCAACCTATGAATCACCCGTTGCTGTAAAATGCAGAGTCCGTACGCACATGCACGTGGTTTTAGCTCCTGCCTGGAACATATGTGCGAGGCTGAGAAAGGAAATCTGGGTGAAACATTTGCTTCAAGTGCCGGAAGAGAGGCCCCTGGGAAGTGCTTGTAGGGGGAGGGGCGACAGAATGGACGGACGTGCCCTGTATTTACAGTTAGATGCCACGGAGCCCCGGGTGCCAGAGAGGGGGTCACTTTGCTGGGCGGGCGTTGCAGCGGCAGCCCCAAGCCTCGCCACCAGGCTGGCCACCTGTCCCCAGATTTCACGCGAGTCTCAGTGTCCCCACTTTGAGGACAGAGGAGGCTCCAGGCTATGTGACTCTCGATCCTCAATTCCTGGCCAGGGCAGAGGCGGCAGATCCCAAATCCCTCAGTGGGAAAACAGGTTCGGCGCCTTCCTGCCACCCCCATGCCCCTCCCTCGGCTGTGGGCTTGGCATCTGCAAAGGCCCCCATGAGCATCTGGGCTTGGTTTTTTCCAGAAGGGTCTCCCTACCCCCACCCCCCACCCCATTCCAGGAAACCCACCAGGGCCTTTCCAAGCGGTTAAGGGGAGGGATTGGGGAGGCAGATGGAGGTTCAAAGTCTGGCTTTTGGCACTTACTAGCTCCGTGCTCTTGAGAAACTGACTCAACGCCTCTGGCCTCGCTCTCCCCCACCTGCAGCCTGGGAGCAGGGATATACGCAGCTGTGTGAAGCTTCCAGAAGTGGAGAGCGTGGGCGCACTGAACGCTGCACGGGGGCCCTGCAAACGCTCCATTAGCTTCAGTCCCCACCCCTGTCCCTCCCGGAGCCCTAGGGAGACCCGGGCTCCTGTCCCTTCCTCAGCCTCACTTCTACTTCCTTATACTGAGGCCAAATTCTGGGAGAGGTGGCCTGCAACGATCAGCAGCCTCTGAGACGCCTCACTAATTTAGACGGAAGCAAAGAGGTGGCTGGAGACTTTTCTGGTTTTAAATTGTAGTAAAAATACACACAACCTACCATCGATCATTTAAGCACTTGTAATTGTAGAATTCGGTGACATTAAATACACCCCAAATGCCATGTAACGATCACCACTACCTATACCCCAAATGTTTTCACCCTCCCCAACAAAAAACTCCATACCCATTTAAGCAATAGCCCCCCACCCCCGCCCCAGCCCCTGGCAATCTGTACTTTCTGTTTCTGTCCCCTGAATCTGACCCTCCTAGGTGCCTTGCTCAGTGGGATCATACAGGATTGGGGCTGCAGGCTTCCCAAGCCCCTCACCCTTCCTCTGCCTGTCACTTTTCAGGCTGACTCTCCATTATCCACACGGCTAAATTAAAAGATCACCCCCTGACCCGACCCCACTACACACACACACACACACACACACACACACACACACACGTCGACTTTGGAGTTTGGAAGGAGGCGGGGTTGCTTTCCCCAAACCTGAAACCGGGCTGTCTGCCTTGTTCCAAAACTGAGGGGTGTGTTCTGTGGCTTGGAGGGAGGGCTTCGCTTTGCGGGGTGTCCCTCATGTCCAGATACCCTGACCGGCTCCCATTTATGATGTCCCCATGTCAGCCCCAAATTAGGGCCTCCTTGGGGCGTTCGGGACCCTGGATTTGGAGAGTGTATATAGTGTCTCTATACTCGAGCTCCAGCCTCCCCTTTCTCTGGAACCCATGGGTGGGGTCCTCCAAGACCCCCACCCCAACCAGAGTGGGAAGGGAGAAGCGGCTTCCAAGCGGCGCCTCCCGGCTCCTCCAAGGAAGTTGCTCCCGGTCGCTAGGGGGCGCCACGGAGCCGCCGCCGAGAGGGTACCCACGGACCCGGCCTGGGCGCAGCCCGTCGCGCCCGCTCGGTAAGGCGGGGGACCGTGCGCCGAGGCGCCCGGGACCATCCCGCGACAAACGGCTGCCCTGGACGCCGAGAGCCCCGGGAGTGAAGTCGGCGGGGGCGAGGGGAGCCGCCCTGACTCCTCCCCGAACTTTTCCCGCCCGCCTCGGCGCAAAAGGCGCAGGAAGCAATCCGGGGGTGGGGAGGTGGAATTCGGGGTGCAGGGCCAACTCGGCGCACGGGGAAGGTCCGCGCGCCCTGGTCGTCTGGTGGAGGGCCGGTGGGGTGTCGGTACGGATGGGCCTCGGCCCCTCCCTGCCCCCCCCCCAACGGCGGGAGTCCTTCGGTCGCGTAGGTGCAGGGGCACGCGGCCGGCTCCCGGGGCGCACGCCGCCCGAAGCCCCCCGACGTGGCCCCGCGCCCTGCGCCCCGCGCGCGCTTCCCGGGCGCGAGCCCAACTCACCGGGCGCAGGCGGCTGACAGACAGACGGGCTGGGGCGCGAGGCGAGGCCGCCGGGCTGTTTTGAAGCTCTGGGCTGGGACTGCGCGCCCTCCCTCCTCCCTCGCGGTGGCGCGGAGCCTCCTCCCCGCGCCCCCTCCTTCCCGGATCCCGCCTCCCGGGGCGTGATGTCAGGGGCCCGGAGAGCCGAGTGGGAGGGCCGGCGGGAGGCGGGTGGGGGGACACGCTGGAGGGAAAGGCTGCAGCCCCGGGAGCGCCCCCGGCCCCCGGCCGCCCCCGGCGCAACTCGGGCCAAGTTTGGGGCGGAGCCTGCCGCGCGGCTCGGGGAAAGCGCGAGAAACGCGCAGCGCTGGCCCGGACGGGTTTCCACTCCCTCCCCTCCCCTCTCTGGTCCCTCCGTCCCCCTTTTCTCCTCCAACCCTCCCGTAAGGGCTCCGAACGAGGGTTCTGGAACCCGACTCCCTGCCGGAGACGCCCTTCTCAGGCCCTCTTCTCAACTTTGTGGTCTTGTCCTTCCTGCGCCTTTGCTGCCTCGGTTTCCTCTCCTGGAAAAGGGAGTCACCCCAGGACCTCTCGGATTCTTGCGAGGCCTGCAAGTGGCGCTGCGCGCGGGCTCGGCGCCTGGCACATAGTTCGTGCTCAGTAAATATTAGCTGTTGTTATTTTTATTACCCGACCTTGGTGGGAGGGGGCAGGGCAACCGGGTGCCAGGTCTTAGGGTTCCCCACTCGTTGCTTTCCCCCACTCCCCACACACCCTTGCACAAACCACCGCCCACATCCTTTGAACCCACAGTCCTGGAATTTATTATCCCTGGAAGTGACCTCAGAGGACGAGGAACAGCCTCTCTTCCCAGCCTCAGTTTCCCCGTCTGGAAACAGAGGGCTAATGTGCTCTGGAGGCTCTCGGGAGGTCAGAGACGGAGGCCAGAGGGACCTGACCCCCATGTGTGGAGTGGGGGGGAGCATTTCCTATTTTGAAAAATCAAAGAAGTTCCAAAACAGGGCCACGACATGACAGTATATTTTAAGCTTTTAACAGGTTAATATTATCGGCCTGCACCCCAAAAATACAAGGCAGTAGATTGTGTTACCCACGAGAGAATTAGAAACACTTTTTTACTAATCTATTGTGCACTAGCTGGGGGCGACGGGGAGTGGGGACAGAATGCCATGTTTAAACTGCCAGTCAGTCTTTCTTCAGTCCTTCTGGCGAGCTCTGCAAGGTGAGAGCCTCCCTGAGTCCCTGAGTCGAAATTAGAGATGCTTGGGAGACGTGAGAGCCCCTCTAAGGACCACCCCCCCAAGTCTTGAGATTCCCCAGTCGCTCCAGTGTCTGACTTTGGAATTTGATGGATACTCAAGACCGCTATCCCCCACGCAGAAGGTTTTCTGTAGGGCTGGAGAGGAGGCAGGAAAGTGTCAGAAAAACTACCTAAATAACTTGCTCAAAGGCTCCAAGTGATGCATAGAGTGTGGATTTGAACCCAGACCGACCGCAGGAAGACCAGCAATCCTGTTCCTACCACAACACTACTTACCAAATGCCAACCGTGGCCGTCGTTCCCGCCATATCTACGTGCCACCTGAAGGAGTACTCACTTATTTTTTTCTTTAAATAGACTCTGTTTATTTAACTATATTTATTTTAAAAGGAAGCCCTATAGCATCACGGTAAACAGGAAAGCAGCGCCATTCGCCAAACACAGAAGAGAAACTTACAAACACTACCCTACACGCCCCCGCCCCCCAAAAAAACCCCAGTGTGTCAGTACGTTCCAGTCAGATCCTGTTGCCTGAAAGATCCCCGAACCTGAAGTCTGGGACTTCTCAGCCGGCCTCACTCGCACAGAAGGAGACTCTCCTCCTGGTGATCAGAACCACTGCAAGATCCCAAAGGGAAGCTCGCTCTCACTCTGTGATTCAAACTTGCTCACTCGAGGCAGCGCCTCCTCCCCAAATCACCTAAATCACCTCCGGGGTGCCTGCCCATTCGCCGGCTGCCTGCGCCTCCTGGTGTGGTTGCTTTAACTACCGTCCTCTCTCCCCACTAAGACTGGGGGCAGAAGCCTGCCTTTACCCACCCATAGTCCCCCTCCTGGTGTTTCCATTAGCTGGAAACCTCAACATGGTGTGGGGGGGAAATAGGAAGGCGTTCGATTGAGTTCTGGGCTCCAAATCTTCACCTGCTATAGAGCAGCGTGCATGCACACCCCAGCCTCGTGGCCGGAAGAGTGTACATCCTGCCCCCTCCTCCCCTACCCCCACACCCCACTTTGACCTCGAGCTAGGCCATTGGCAGGCTCTGACCACACAAATATTAGGGGCGCCTGGGTGGCTTAGTCGGTTAAGCGTCCGACTTTCGCTTCAGTTATGATCTCGCGGTTCGTAGGTTCGAGCCCCGCGTCGGGCTCTGTGCGGACTGCCAGCTCGGAGCCTGGAGCCTATTTCAGAGTCTGTGACTCCCTCTCTCTCTGACCCTCCCCTGCTCACGCCGTCTCTCTCTCTCCTAGAAATAAATTTAAAAAAATATTTTAAAAAAAATTAGCAGGCAGGGCACACACAAAGGCTGGGAATGCTCTTGAGCAGCAGGGTTTGCCCTCTTGTGATTTTGCCTTCTCCATAAGCAGAATACACCCCCAGGAGCCCACCGTTCCCAGAAAAAGGAAAGATGTGGGGAGCAGGGCTGCCCTCAGTGACGTGCAGAATGTGCACCTGGGACACAGAGCTGTTCCAGCCAAGCTGCAGATACACAAATGAGAAAGGCACGTCTGCTGTCGCACGTATGAGGCATCGTGGCTGTTTCACAGCGGTAGCGGGTTGATAAAAAGCCAGCGGTGGGGGTCGGGGTTGAGGAGCGAAGGGAATCGAGAACTCTAGTGACTCCTGTGTGTCCTTGCTGGCTTGAACGTTGTAAGGTGCTGCTGGTTGCTTATAACCTGCTTCTGTTGACTCTTTTCTGTTCTTAGAAGGAAGGACGAGGGGGGTCCATGCCTGGGGGCGAATCTGATCCCCAACCTTAAGGCAGTAACAGAACTTGGAGTTGTAGCAGAAAAGGTACAGAGGAGAGGTGGGCTTTGGTCAAGAAGGATGGAGACCCTAGGAGAAAATATCTCAATCCATAGAGTCAGGATGGGAATGGATCAGATGGAAAGGTGATCGACCAGTGACCCGTGCTTGTGCTTGGTGGATCAGTTTAATCTAGACAGATGGCAGAGGGCTTTCTCACTTCCAATCAATAACCATTTCCTTTAAAAGCAAACTGGTGGAGAGGCCGCTAGGATGCCACCTCTCCCCCACGGGGTCCTACCTCCTGGGGCTCACACCCCTGTGTAATCCCCACCTTGTGAGGGTGGGCTGGACACATGCCTGGGTTTTTATGGACAGAATAAGGCAAAAATGATGGATGTCACTTCTGTGACAAGGTTACAAGAACTGTGACTTCTGTCCAGCCAGCAGACTGACTATTGCCTCTAGGTTTGCATGGTTTTTGTTTTTTGTTTTTCTCATGAAGTAACTGTCATGTCAGAGAGATCCATGGGCAAAAAAACCAAAAACAAAACAAGGGAAACTCTGGCCAACAGCCAGTCAGGAACTGAGGCCTTCAGTTCACCAGCCCCTAAGGACCAGAGTAATGCCAACTGTTTGGAAGCAGATCGTTCCCCGAGTGACCCTCCAGATGAGACCCCAGATCTGGCCACCACCTTGACAGAGCCGTGTGGGAAGTCCTGGGGCAAAGGACTCAGATAAGCCATGCCCAGATCCCTGACCCACGGAAACTGTAAGGTACTATAGGTGTGCTGAATGTGGGGGTGCTTTGTTATGCAGGCAAAGATAACTAACACTCCAAGAAAAGGATTAGCATCCACTGACTCAGATTTGGAGGGATGGGCTCTAGCTGCAGTCTGTATCGGTCGGATAGACTGGGTGATGCCATGATAACAAATTATCCCACAATCTCAGTGACTTGCCACAGAGTTGCAAGCTTGTGGTGGTGTGGCTTGTGGTGTTGCTATATGTCACTCGTACTATGTCCATCACGGGGTGATGGTGACCACGTGTTGGTGTCATCTTTGCCTCAGGATGCAGGCTGATGGAGCAGCCTCTATATGGACCGAGGCTGGTCTCAGGCGGGTGGGAAGATCAGGGAATGTAGTACACACCGGCTATTAAAAGCTTCCACGTGCTCACATTTCGTGGGCAAAGCAAGGCATGAAGCCAGGCAGCACAAAATCTCCCACTAGCCATGTTACCCTGGCAAAGCGCTTCCTCTCTCAGGGTCCAACTCTATCTTTGACCTTGGCGTATAGCTCTAAATGCCTCCGGAGGGAGGAATACAGCAAGCGCATTCAAAGACCTCCCAGGCAACATTTTCTCTTAGCTACTTTTCCAGATGGGGAGTAGGATCATTGGACTAGAGCTACTCAGGAAAAGTTCCAAGTATGAAAGCTATAGGAAACTAACAGCTGGGTCAGACTCCACCCTCCCCCTTACCCCCACCACCAAGTGCCCTTACTGCCTGCTGGAGTAGGATCTGAGACATACACTCTCTGGAGAGCCCATCAGCCATCCCCCCCCCCCTCAACCGGTCGCCCACCTCCGCAGACTGGCGGGGCGCGGGATGGAGACAATTGTTTCCAGCAGAGATGGCCCCTGCGCCCTCCAGTTATAGCTGGGAGCTCTGGATCTCATCACTTTTCCCCCGTTGTGAAGCATCCTACACGTATAAGAAGGATCCACAATACAAATCTTGTGCATCTGACTTAGGGCAGAGAGACTCGACTGTCACCAAAGTCCACGCCATGGCCGCAGAATTTCCAAGCCCCTGGAGATACGACCCCTAACTACGTCCTTACGGGCTTCCAGGTCTCTTGAAGACATCACACATCTAAGGGGTTGTGTCTGGGTTTTTCCCACCATAGACACGTTTGGCACTGAGCCCCGAAACATCTGGGTGCTTGACTGTAGCTCCCAGTTTTCATCAGGGGGGTTGGCACCACGGGGAACTGAGCCTGTGAGCCCTCCCACATGTGAATACAGTCAGAAAGAGCCACAGGAAGCAGGCGGGTTTGCTCTCCACCGCCAACATCATTACCTCCCAAACATCTGGAGCCCAGGTAGCCCATGGGCTGTTCTTAGCAAGTCCCAGAAGAAAGTCCTCTGCATCTCCCTGTGTGGCAAGGCAGATAGAGGCCCCCTCTCTGGCTCATCTTCTGAAAAGACAGGGTACAGTTTAACACC